CCCCCCCCCCCAGTGTGGCGCTTCTTTTTCGCTCTGCGGGCCGTTTTCGTTTAGAAGTGCGTCAGCCCTTGCGGCGGGCTTCGAAAGCCCTCGCTGTCGCGTCGTTGAAGCTTGTCCCTCGGAGATGGTGTGCGGCGGCTCTGTGTGTCGCGTCTGTGGCACCCCGGAGCTCTGCGCGCACGGGCTGTCGGCAGCATCGTTCGCCCCCGTCGGTTCTCGTCTGGTCCCGCATGGCGGTGCTGGGATTTGTTTTGGTTGTGTCGTGTGGGATTGTCGTCGGCCAGTCACCGATGGCGCCCTCGGGTCGCTTGGCGTGCTTCTTTGCGCTTCTCTCTTTCTCTCGTTGGTTGCTGGCTGGTCGATGGTGTGTTCGCGTCTGCAGCTGTCTTCTGGCCTTTCTTGTCCTCCTTCTCTCCTGCGCGGCTTCAGGTTCTACCTTTTCTGGCAATTCTTCGGCCTTTTTGGCTCTTATTTTTGTAGGCTTCTACCTTTTGTTTTTCGCCTACTTCTACCTTTTTGATCGAAGATTCTACCTTTTTTGTAGATAGCCTCATATTCCCACCCATTCTAGTGCCGGCACCCTTCCAGTTCTGGTCCATGCATCGTAATTTTAAAAATATGGAGGCGCATTCCTGTAATTCTCCTTCATCGGGAAGCTTTATCATTTCAGAAGTTGAACACCGACGCAGGACCGTTGAACGACATGAATCTTTTAACACTAGTGCGGTCAACATCAACATACAACATGTTGCTTCAAGTTCTTCAATATCAAGAAGTGCAATAAGTGCGCGCATGCTAATCATGCTTCAGAGTGGCTTCATCGGACGAGGATAGCTGCACAATTCGACAGATGAAGTAGTTCCCACCAGCACCATCCACCACTCCATATAAGAAAACTACTAAGTTTCATCATAATCCATCTTGATGAATTCAAAAATACTATATTTTGGATCACCACTACAACTACTCTACAACAACAACAAACTTTTCATTCATTCAGGTTTTTACTGTCAACTCATTTTTTTTGGTTCCTGGGTCTATATTCTCGTCCCTTACCCCGACGAGAAGCCAGAAGCACGACGGCCAGCACTTCTTATCGATCACTTTAGCATAGACAAGGCTGGAGTCAGCTTCATTTCTACTTCTCAACATCAAACTCCAACTCCAGTTCCAAAGTATTCGGCCATTAATTGGAATGAGGGGGAGTTTTATATAGAAGAAGATGTCCTATGGAAATCCATTTCACAGAGGACATGTGAGTAAGTCAGTACTTCCATCAGCTTTTCCCTCTCGATAGAGTTCGGCTTCGGTTTCTCCTTTCTAATGCTATTCGGATGATAATGTTGCAGGCTCGAGTTCACAAACAATACAAATATACAAAATGTGCGAAAAATCAGAAGATTTTTGATGTGTATAATAACACAGTTAACGTTCACGACACCGACTCCTGTGATGTCAACACGACTAACACTATAATTAAAAACATGTGGTCCTATAAATTATCTTGTTCTATAGATTATCTTGTTCTTTCTAGTATAACAAGAAACTTTCGAAGTTCTAAATTTCACAAGCTTGAAACGAATTCGACTTCTACTCCGATAAGATTCTTCCCATCCCTTTCCGCACGACGATGGCGAGACACTTGTTGATGTTGTTGCCGGAGGTATAAAATAAATGGGTACTACAAGTCTTTACCTGTACCACAACATGAAATATATTCAAATTTTCTATAACCAAGTAGCTATAAAAATAGGGAACATCAAGTACCACGACGAGCAAGAGGCCGCTAGGGACCTCCCACGTCGACTGAATCTCATGCTGTGGTCGTGCCGTAATTACGTTGGGGTTGGGGGGATACCACAACGAAGAGGAGGACGAGGCACTCGTGTGATGTGCTTGTAGTTCTAGAGCAACACTTTCATCATCTTTGACAAAAGGTAGAGGTATTTCCAACACTTTCATCATCTTTGACAAAAGGTAGAGGTATTTCCAACACTTCTCACTTGTTGTTGTTGTTGTTGTTCTTGTTGTTGTTAGTATTATTATTACGCTCGCCAGCGCTCTTGCCACCTGTCACTATGTCGTAATTTAATGAATATTTTTTCAGTATTTAGAAGAAGGCCAGCATCGCGTTCTTCTTTCTCTTTAGTACTCAGCCTAATATTTCTAGGTCTTCCGTCCACCGCAGCATATTCTGTTGGAGGCGTATGGTGTGGCGAACCACCGCGTGATCGTCCTCCACTACGACGTCCTCTCGACGATGATCATTTTATTTCACCCTTGTTGGTATAAAAATGATCATTGAGAAGGTGGCTGATGTATATCTATTTGATTAATAGAAAAAGCAAGCGTGTTGACCATCTACTTCCTCCTGAGGTATCCAAACTCAAAAAAATCACGTTGGAGTTTCCAGACGATAGTGGAAATAGTAATCTTCTTACCCTTCTCAATCAAACCAGTTACTTTACACGTGAGCCTATACTCATTTACCGTATAATAAATACGAAAGCCTACACTGTCCAACAATATAATAAATACGCAAACCTAGTACTACAAGCTACAAGTTCTTGTCGTGCCACAAGTGCTTAGAGTACCATAAAAACTACATAGCACTATACAAACTCGGGCTTCTAGTTCTACTGCAGTGCTTATAGTACCATAAAAACTCATTGAAAGCCTACTACAAAAAGGCTACAATTTGTGCCACAAGTGCTTATAGTACCATAAAAACTACATAGTACTATAAAAACTCGGGCTTCTACTGCAGTGCTTATAGTACCATAGAAACTACATAGTACTACTTATGTATAAAAACTCGACCTTCTACTGCAGTTCACATTTTCGCTTTTGGTGAAGACGAAGTTCATCGTCGTGCCAACAGCATCTCCTTCATCGTCTTCGTCTACTACTAGTTCTTCTACTAGTAGCTTGACTACACCTCTTCGACCTCGACCTCCACCACCACCTTGTAATCTTCTAGTGCTAGTACTAGACGACCTAATAGACTACCCCTCTAGTACTAGACAACCCCTCTAGACTACTAGCTCTCCCTTCGTAGTATTTCTTTTTTCCCCGAATTTGTACGAGGATAGAATTACAACTACTTCTTGTTCTTCTTCCATCGCCTTCTTCAAGAATATGTTCCTATTCCCAACATTTCGTCCTTTACCAAAAATCTATCTAGAGGAGTAAGATTTACTTCTCCTGTTTTCCTACGATAGCGCGGACATCCGAGAGAGCCTTGTCGAAGTTGGCGCGGACCTGGCTGTCTTCCGGGATCCTGCCTTCCTGGTCTTGCAAGGCCTCATAAAACTCCGCGACAATCATTTCGTAGTCCTGTTGTTGAGTTTCAAATGCTCTCAACAATCAACAAGAACAAGGTGCTCTACGTGTATTTGGTGTTGAGGTGAATAAAAAGTAAAAGATATCATTCATTCATTCGAACCACGTAGCAACTCACTCAAAGCTGCCTGGTTCCGTAGCGACCCGAGTAAAGGCATCGCGCTGTTGTAAAACATGATTTGTTGCATTGTATGGCCCTGGTATTTGGTAACCTGAATTTGATCCTAAGGGAAAACAAGAAGAGAACCCTTAGGATCAAATTCAGGTTATACCAAAAATACCAGAACCATTCATGCATGGGATCATAATCCTAAGAGTTGTGTGGAGGTGTAAAACATTAACATGATTTGTTGCATGGGATCATAAGCCTAAAAAGAGTGTGGAGGTGTATGAATGAATGAATGAATGTACCCACTCCAGGGGTTTAGAAGACACTACTACTGACTACTTCTTTTTGCATAGAAATCCAAAAAAAGGTTACCTCTTCCGTCTTTCCGTTGATCTGCCAGAGCGTCTGGGCAAGTACGCGCAACAAGGCACTAGCCTTGCGAGTTAAGTGGAGACTGGTTTCCTCGAGTCCAACAATATCCGCAACGTCACGCCCAAGCCCTACTTCCACAAATTCCGCAGAGAATTGCGCTGTTTGTGTTTTTGTCGTGGTAGATAGATAGATAGATGTACCCACTATGTCGTATAGATAGATAGATGTCGTTTTTGTCGTGGGAAAAGCAATATATAATTTCAACAACTACTTGAAGTAGATCATGATCTTCCTCTTCTTCAGTAGAAAAAGAAAAAGCGACTTCTGATGTGTTAAGGATAAAGATCATGATCTTCCTCTTCTTCAGTAGAAAAAGAAAAAGCGACTACTGACTGTAGTGCCTTAACTTAAGTCTATAAAGAAAATAAGTCTAAAGTCTATCAAAAAAAAAAGTCACGACCTACACCTTAGAAGAAAGAAAGTTATTTAAGTCTATAAAGAAAGAAAGTTAATTCTAGAGAAAGAAAGTCACGACCACCTTAGAAATCAATGAATAGTACAATCTTGCGGGTCAAATCTTAGAAGAATAGTCTATAAAGAAAGAAAGTTAATTCTAGAGAAAGAAAGTCACGACCACCTTAGAAATCAATGAATAGTACAATCTTGCGGGTCAAATCTTAGAAGAATAGTCTATAAAGAAAGAAAGTCAGCTACACCTTAGAAGAATCAATATCAATAGTATCACCTACACCTACCTTAGAAGAATCAATAGTACATAGAAATAGTACAATAAGTACAATCTTGCTCCGCAACGAATTTGAGCGCGGAATAGCTGCAAGCCTCACGCTGCGAACTGAGGAGGAGCTTCAAAGCGAGCCAGAACTCTGCTGCGCGGGTGTCCATCCCCACCACTGCTGAAGTCAAGAGACCAGCTGCTTCAATTGCTGCGTCGCCGCCTATGATCGTGTAATGTTTTTTTTTTTTGGATTGGGTTCTTGAAGATAATTTTCAATGAAATCAGTAGAAAATGTTGTTTTTTTTCTGACACTGATTCATGCCATGGGATATAATTAAAAACAAAAGATAATTTTCTGAAGACACTGATTCATGGAATTTTCATGTTCCTAAGGTGAACTGATAGTTTTTTTTTTCTGACACTGATTCATGGAATTTTCATGTTCCTAAGGGGAACTAATTCATGGGATATGATATTTTTTGGATTGGATTCATGTTCCTAAGGTTGGGAGGCAAGAACATCAACCTCATAGTCGTCGTCGTCAACGTTATAATGAAGAACTCTAGAAGCAGAGATAGAGAACCACTACCACAACCACAATGAACCAAAAATAACTTCTGTAGTATCAAATAAAAACAACTCAAATTTCTATGTAATAAAAAAAGTATAGCTGCTCCGAGTCCGCCCTCATGAGTGAATGAATGTAACCACTCCAGGAGTATAGAAGACTACTCCACTGCTACAGCCTCTGCTTGCGTTTTGCCTCATGAGTTCGCATGAGCTCTACTCTTTATTTTGCACGTGCTAGCAGTGACAGTGTGAAATCAGATCAAGAAACTCCAGCCCACTACCATTACTTTATTCTCTCAATATTCTCATCTTGCTTAATATCTTGCTCTACTCTTTATTTTGCACGTGCTAGCAGTGACAGTATTAATAGTAAGTACCCTGTTGCGCCAATCGATAGATCTGCTGAGCAATATTATGTTCTTGGACCGTAAGGTCTGGGATCCAGTCCATTGACATTTCTAGGTCATCCAAGCTGGAAACGTCGCTACCAGTACCGCAAGAGGTATTGGAAGTGGAACTAAAAGTACTACTCACAACTACAACAATCCTTAACCTTATCCATCGCTTGAAGATGCCTCAACATCTTCTGTGTCCACTTGTTGAAAACTACTGCTGCTCACAGAAGATGAAGTAAAAGATGGATTATGTTGGATTATTAAGTGAGCAGGAGGTCATCTTAAAGGTGACATTATCGCAGTCATTATCGCAGCTGTTCTCGACGCCGCGAGAGAGGGTGCTATTACCTCCCGACAAAAGCGCGTCCTTGACGGCGCGGAACAACTTTCCGAAGGATTCGATATTTCCGTGATCGCCTGTTGAAGTTGTTATATGAGCAAATAACTTGAAGCAGAAATATATGTTAACACTATCATATATATCATATAATTAAGTTATATTATATAACACCAGAGGGAAATAAAAATAATCATAAGACGGCAAAAACAAAATACCGAAGTAATCACGAACAGCTCAAACATCAAATCCTATGAAATAGACTAAAGCGCAAGCAGGCAAACGCAGTCGTAATATAGAGCGCGCGAAGAAGAAACGAACATCCCCCGAAAGGTAAAAGAGGTCAGGGATAATAGCCACTAAGCCGCGCCTCCTTATCAAACGAGATAAAGGCAACGAAGCTGGCAGGGTTTGAGGACTACAACGCCGAGAGACAGAAGAGGTCAGGGACAATAGCCAGTAAGCCCCTCCACTTCAAAAGGGATGAGATCAACCAACCACAAGCACCATGCACCGCGCGCCAGTTTTCAGCTAAAGGGATAGCCGAATTGAATTAAAAGCCACAAGGTAACTTGGGCACGAATGTTATTCATAACCGCGCGCCAGTTGCGCAGCGTTTAAAAGTCTACGCATCTTTCTGCCCTGGTGCTTCTAGTTGGGTTCAGAACGCCCATGCACTCAATTCTTGCCCCGTTGGTGATGATTTCTGCTGCCTGCGTAGCGCTAATTCCATTCCATACGCAAGGGAAAATGCTTTCCGCCCATCATTTTCGCACCACTTTCCCACGGTGTCCTTCATGATGTACTGCGCCGATTGTTCAGCCTCCATCCTTGTGGAAGATGGTGAGACCATCCCCCACTTAGATGAAGCCGAAGATTGCTCGACGTGCTGACCCATATCCTTGTCACCACTAACCAGTTGCTCCACCCACTGTTTTCTTCCTAAACTGATGACTGAAAATAACCATGTGATTGAGGTGACTGGTGCCTCCATCACATGGCAGCAGCGCAAGACACTTCTCAGTTAGCCGTTCTTTGGTTTCAGTTAATCAGATTCAGAACAACTAGAACGCGCCGTACTCATCTTCCGGCCTTCTTATTCTAGCCTCATTATAGACCCAACCGCCTGGAGAATCAACTAGGGTGATTCTGATTGATGGAATTTCGAGCGTTCAATATTCATTTACTCATTTCTACTTTATTCTTTTTGCGGTTGGGTCTCACTGGTATGTCGGATACAGGCATCAAGGACGAGCCTTGAGCTGAGGTAGTAAATAGTATGTGTTGTCATAGAACAATTTAGTTTAAGCTGTACGTCGAAATTCCACTGCAAAGCGCGCTCCTTTGGTGTTCTGGAACGGCGTAATAAGAATGCCGCAGCGTGGTTCCATGCAGGTAACGCACAGCGTTGTGCCACGAATCTTCATCAACGCCTCATACTTCGACAAGACGGATGTAATTTTGTTACCTGATGTGAGTATTCATAAGGAAGAAGATGTTCTTGTCGTGGCTCTGCATTTTTGCTCGACCTCGCTCTGAGACAGGAGGCGGAATGAACAAGAAAGCTATAATTGTTCATCAAGGAGTTGTACTTGTATGTAAATTAAAGCTATAATTGTTCATCAAGGATTTGTACTTGTATGTAAATTAAAGCTATTCTTGTTCAACATCAAGGAGTTCTTGTACTTGTATGTCTATGTAGTACAGATTTTCCAGCACTCCTGTCCTGGTCTTGCCGAAAAATGCAGAGTTGTTGCGCTAAGTGGAATTGATTCCGACAATTCCTGGAAGCTCATGGCCGCTTCGAACTTTGGCGCTGGAACGATATTAGCCTCCAGGGGAACTACGATTTCGATCTCAGCTCCCTTCTTCCCAGCATCGTTCATTGGCTCGCTATCCATAGCATCTTCCTTAGTGGTGATCTGCGCAACGCCCCTCTTGATGACCTCTGGCGCGACTGCGGCATCGTCGAAGTGATCCACAATGTAGTTGGCCGTTGAGGAGGAGGTGGCATCCCTCATCACCTGCTCCCCTGCCGTTGACGAGTTGAACAGAGAATCCGACATCTTCTTCCTCGTCTACTTGAAGATGATGTTGCCGCTGATATAATAATTACTTAGTTGTATAATATAAAAAAGGTAGAGATGGTGATCTAATTAGTTGTCTACAACTAAAAGTTGTAGGCTGAGACTAATTAGATAAAAATTTTAGAGACATGTTCTTGATGTAGCTACGACGTTTTTTGGATGGAAAGGTTGACTGAGGATGGGCGTATTAGGTTACTAACTATAATAGGTATTTTAGTGAGGCAAATGGTAATCCTAAATATTAGAACAATTAATAGAGGTGCCCGATCCAGGATGGAGTGGATCGGATGGAACGGATGGACTTCCCCGCTTCGCTAAGCATTTCAAGTAGGACCCAAGGTGGATATATTTGGTTTTGGTAGGTCCATCCGATCCATCCAAGTCCATCCTACACCCGTTCTCTAAATTAATCTACTAAATATTTATAAAAAGACTGGTCTTGTATTTATTGACCACAAGTCTGCCAGTACTTACAACATTATGATTACTTCCTTGACTTTCAGTGGTTTTTTCAAAGATATTCTTCCAAACAACTATGACGATCACGGACGACCACTTGAACTAAAACTAAATGAAGAATCACCACCCCGATTCTTCCCCGACACTACCCGCACGTCTCTTGCTGTTCTTTTTGCTATTGATGTTGTTTGGGGGCGGTCGTTTTGGGATGATGAATATTTGTTGATCTTAATCATTGATTGATGGTATTCACCACCGAGAAAGAACGTAAAAGAAAGAAGCTTGACTATCTCTTCGTCTTCTTCTAGTACTCAATAATTATTATTATTATGATGATGATGAGGATGATTGTATTTGTACCTAAACCTAAACCTATTCTCCTTGATTATAAACATTCAGATATAAATATAGAATTCTGGACACTTTTTCTGTCAACAGAAGTAGAAGAAATAAGGCTTAATCGAAATACTCATTCATTCTAGAAGACGTGGAACAAATAACATGCAAGAAACAAAAACAAAACGAAGAACGACTGATGGATGAAGATTGCTGCATAGAAATAGAAATAAATGTTGAACTTTTCAAAACAAGATTCATTTTAACTTCGTTTTCTCTACGAGGACCAGCAGTCACGACGTTCTTATGCAGATATTCTCAATGAGAGGGAGGAACTTTTTGTAGCAGAAATTTTTGGGGCACATCAAAGCAACCAAAATAATAAAGCGTCCCTCTTTTTTCCCCCTGTTTGTCATTTCGTGATTTGAGAAGATCTTTTTTGTAACATCATGATCAATGAAGATATCCATCAAGGAAAGATATGCATCCATTGCAAGAAAATAAAAAGCACTACCTCCTCGTGCCTGCTCACGACGGAAAAAAGAACAACATACTCTACTTGAAATCGGTTTCGGCCTTCCATTCCATTGACTCTTCCATCACTGCTGGCGAGTATACCAGCTGCTAGGCTCTCGTGACAGATCATCGTCACAGATCACATTCTCAACATGCGAAGGAATCGTCCTTCCGAAGAACACAAAAAAAAAGAGCAAAATTGTCTGAAATTGATGTTGGTAGAATTGATACCTCTTAAAAAAAACTCTCTCTCTCAGATACACATTCTCTGCGCCTTAGCAAAATCCTCATCTCTCAAGTCTCAGAAGAACAGCAACACGAACTCGTCTACAGATCGCACTCGCGAGTGAACCGAACAGAATCCTCAATCACCATGAAGTCTTGTTCACACATTTTCTACCACCGGGAGTAGTTGCAGTTAATGTTAAGTCATGTTTCAATGTGAATACAAAGTCATCTCCTGTCAAGAAGTGGTCTCAGGACGTAAATTACGTTCTTCTTCTTTCGTGTCGTGTCGGCGTTAACAATAATTTCAATTTCTGGGTCTACGTGTAGGAGTTAATATGATTATGATGTTGATTCATTATATGTGCTCTGTATGTTTCGAGGACTTCTTCTATGTCATGATGTAACTCCTCAAAAATCCTGTTGTATGCAGGATGTCAACAACGATGGATATGGTCTTGAGTGATCTATACAAATTCAAATTTGACTACTGGTAAACAATATATATAAGTCGGAGGTCCATGATAGGCCGCTTGTTCAAAGAAATGTCAAGAATTTAGTGTGGGAGGTGATAATTATCTTTGCAAAAATCTCTATCTGAATTTTCACAGTAGGCAAGTTTGTTTCGGTCTCGAAGTAGTAAATAGCTGTGCACTGCAAATCTTCTAAGATTTCTGTTTCTATCTTCATCAAGGTAGAGTCGCGACAGTGTCGTGGCTCTATAGCTACTCCTCAAAACATCCCCAGTTCCGTTCCACTTTGCGGCTCCCATTCGCTTGCTGAGGAAGACAATCCTAGACTATAACCCTCTTCGCCTCCTCCTTCTCCACCTGCAGCTCCTGCGAGGTGGTCGACTAGAAGATTGACCTGATGTTGTCGTGACTCTAGAAGTCCTGATGTCGATGTGTTCCTCTTCCTGCCGCCGCCTGCTAAATTATAGAAGTCATATTCTCGCATGAGCTCTTTCGTAGCAGTCTTCATTTTCTTCTCCATTTGTGCGACTACTTGTTTTCGCTGACTACCCTTCGGCACAGCCGTGAGACGGAAGAGCCCTTTTGCGTCGGAGCGCGAGCCGAAGACTCGTACCGAGTCAGGGGGTGAATCGGGTTAGAGCTCTCCCCTATTCATCCCTGTGGAAATCCCTCAAGCATATGCGTCAGTATCTCCCTTGTATTGGGGCGCATATGTTTGAGGGATGTCTACAGGGATGGATTAAGGGAAGCCTTAATCGGGGAGAAGCAAAAAGTTTGACAGCACGATGTTAGGATCTACTGCATGTTGTCCTGCTTGATGCGCATCTTCTTGTCTTTCTCCTTCAGCAGCTTGTGTTTGTTAGACTTAGAGCTCACCCTCATCCATCTTGACATGCATCTTGAGACCGTTTCCTCCTCGCAAAGAAACGTCTGTAAGATGCTTCCGGAGATGGATAAGGGGAAGCCTTAAGTTTGTGAGGAACCAGACAAAGAGGTCGTGGCTGATGTTGCCGACACCCATGTCCCCGACGCCTTCTTCCACAGCAAGACCCGTTGCGAGAAGAAGTTCCTACGCTTGTACTCGTCTGATGTTTCTCCTAGAAGGAGTTCTACTTCGACTAGCTGCGCCTGCTGTCCTCGTCCACTATAATTCTTGCGTCCTTGTTCTCTACTACGTCCACGAGGACCACGCGAGCGATTTCGTTTCTTTCCGCCTGCTGCAAGAACTTCTTGTTCTTGATGTTCCGCTTCAGACGTTCTTGTCACAACTCCTGTAGTGGAGTCTCCTGAGCCTATTGATTCTGTGCGTTCAATCGGTGGGATAGGTGGAACGTCGAGCCGGAGTGGAACACGCATACGTCTAGCTGTTCCGTCAGCCGGTTGCCCTCCATTTCCACCACTGCCGCCTCTTCTCTTTGTAGGACTACCTGACGTTCCGCGGGCGTCGCCTTGCTCACTGAAGGCAGAGATGAAAACTGCTTCCCACAGAATCGGAGTGAGACGACTGCGGAAAATGCTATCTACTGCATGAGAACCTCTTGTTCTGGTGCTATCTCCATCCTCCTGATTTTTAGCTGCTATAGCTACACAAGTCGATAAGAAACTTATCGGACATCGGAAGGCTTCCACTCGTGAAGCAGGAGCAGTAGATGAATCTAGTATATCGTCTGCTGCGCCTGCGTCACGACCTTGCTCCTCCTGCTCGCCACCGTCTGCTCCGCTAGCACGCCGTAGTCGATGAAAAACTTCCACCTTATTCAAGTCCTCTAGTGGCGGCTCAACACTATGATTCTTTTCCACAAATCTTTTCAAAGTACTTTCTAGCTCAAGAGGGTCAGCAAAGACTTGTCCCCTCCACTCGATCTGCACAGACGGGTTAGAAACTAGTTCTTGTTGTTCTTCTACTAGTTCTTGTTGTTCATGCACTACAACTACATCTTCCTTTAGGTCGTTGTAGACGACATCCTGAAGGCCTGCTTGGGCATCACCATCTTCAGCAGGACTCTGAATGTCTTCTCCGACTGTTTCTCTTTCTGGTCTTGCTTGAACAAGTTGCGGTTGCGACGCTTTTCTGTCTTCCTCGTCAACTCCTTTCTCAAGATCTCCTGCTTCAAGTTCAACAGGTGACTGGTCAAGACCATAAGTAGCTGGTCCTCCTCCTGGAGGGATTTCTACTTCATACTCTACGTGCTCTACTAAAAATGGTTGTTTCATCACCTCTGGTCTTTCCTCCATTCCCTTGGACTGTACGTGTACCATCTCAGGAGCTTCCACCTGTTCTACGGCACTCCCAGGAGCTCCGGAGGACGTCTTCAGACCCGTCAAGAAGTCTTTCTCCACTTGCCCTAAGCCTTCTGTGAGTCGCAACACTTCTTGGATCAGCACAGTGTGGTCCATGTCTTGATGTTGCCCACCTCCTACGCCTACGCCTTGTTCATCTCGTCCTTCCTCGTCCAACAACATGTTTGTCGATTTAGCAAGGAGCATCCCCCCCCTTGTTCTCTCACTCTCCTGCTCTCTACTTCTCATTAGAGTCTGCGACTCGATTGCATCTCGGCCCCCTCATCTCGACCCCTTGTACCTTGTAATATTCATGAGAAGAATACAGGGGAACAAAAGGGTACCAAGATGCCGAGAAAGATGGACACTAAATGTTGACCTTAATCTCATCTCCTCTTCTACTTCTGCGGCTTTCCCAACGAAATCAGCAATAGCTTGTGCTGCCTTCCCTCTTGTCAGCCGTTGCAGAATTTGGTCCAGGTCCTCTCTGAAGTCCGTCAGAAGAGCCTGCGACATGCGGTCTGTCACACTGTGTTGAGTTTTCTTGGACGATCATACATGATGATGATACTTAAGCTTAACTTTTTATAATGCATGATGATCGTGATCTTCTGGAAGATGGTTTGGAGAATAATGTTGGAGAATAATGTTGTCGTGAACGTGATCTTCTTCTGGTGTGGATAATAAAAGAAGAGCTGCCACTTGGCACGTTGACAACGACGAAGATCAAGATTGAGACTCGGTAGTAGTAGAGGCAACTTAATAAAAATTCTGGCTATCATATGAATTTGACAAGTTGTACCTCCTCATCCCTGGGTCTTTCAATTCCCTCGCTCTCAGAAATCGGTCTTCAATTTTCTGAGCTCGATATCCGAAGCCCTCCGCGGACCCGGTGTCTAGCAAAAACTGTTCTATGACGCCATCCTCCTCATCCTGAGCAGCTTCGTCATCATCCTCGTCTTCAGCGTGCCGATTTTGGAATTCTTCTTGGCCAGGCATGCTTCTCTTCTCGTGGAGAGCATTCTTGCCTGACGGATCTACTAAATCAGCTAGTTCTTCTTGCAGCAGTTGAGGATCTTCTTCGCTTCTATTGCCACTGCCACCTAGTGCTGATCGTCCAACTGCCTCTCCTCCCGTCGCAGTTCGAGGACTACTCTTCCAACCAACTACTTGCTCATCGAGAGCACCGCCTCCGTCTAGGATGTTGATCGTCTGCTCGTTTGCAGCACTGCCGTCTAGTGTGCCGTGAACCGTGTCCGCCATAACGGCATCGACAAAGTCGGATGCGAAGGCCGCTGCGTGTTGACTGCCGAGACGTGATATTTCGCGTGAACGTAATCGACTACGAACTTCGGAGGCCAACCTGCATCAAAGAGTTGTTCTTGTTGTATCGATCCATCATGTTAAAAAATCTTCAAAGAACATGATGTTGATCACGATCAAAATTTTTACATCTACAACGAACTACATGTATCAAGAAGTAAGAGTCAAAATCAAATGGGAAAAAAATATAGCAGAAGATACGTCGCAACTTCCTCTCCTTCCTCTTCTGCAACCGGCGATGGCCTCCTCTGTTCAGAGACCATGTTTGGCTGCTCAGCTGCTTCCACTGCCTCAGCTTCGTCGCCTGGGAATGTCGTTGGTGGCAATATCTCTGTCGTGATATCGGTTCCTGCCCTACTCAACAAGTCGAACGAAGCATGTATCTCCTGACGACCTTTCTTCATCTTACTTTCTTTTTTACTAGATGCGCCACTAGACGCCCTTTTGCCTTGCTTGGTCTTAAGTGGTGAAGAACCTCTATTTCCTCCTGCTTTGATGCCACCCTTTGCTGCTCCTGGTTTGCTAGCATCTTCGCCTTTCGTCCCCGACTTAGCTGGAAAATGTTTCCCCGCCAGTGTCGCTTGTTGTTGACCTCCTGCAGCGTTCGTGCCCGCCTTCATCCCCATCCTAGTGCCGATGTCCAGCGCTGCTGCCATCATTCCTCCCGTTTCTGAGATTTGATCGTTTTTCACCGCCTGTGAAATTAGTTGCGCTTGCTCCTGAATCACTTCCGCCTGATGTTGTATCACAGCGGCTTGGTGCCTTAGGATACAGACCTCCTTCACAGTCGCCTGCTTGTTCGCTTTGATGCCTGTTGTGTACGAAGACATCAAACCTGGTTTCTTGTTGCGTGGAGCGGCCGTTCTCGATCGCCCTCTAGTTGGTGGCTGTTGACTCCTGCCTTGTGCTGCAGGTGCGGTGACAGGTCTACTACTTTTTTCCACCTCTCTTTTTATAGTGCCGCCATCAACCGTTTGTGCCTCGCTTGCTCCAGCGGCCTCAGGTGCAGGAGCAGCTGCGTCCACAATAGCATTACTCGTACCTCCATGATCCACCTCCTTCCCCTCCTGGTCCACAGCTGCCTGGCATTGACCTATCATCGCCTCCGCCTTACTCAAGTTCGCTGCCACTAGTTCGCGAACTTGGTATTGCTGTTCTCTTGTGAGCGTTGCGCCTGACTTGCTTCCCTTTAGCGGCCCTCCTGCTCCCGCCGTTGTAGCCATGTGTTGCTTTATCGCCTCAAACTTCTGCTGAATTCTCAAAACTTTCTCCTTCAGCATCTGCTTCCTATCTGCCTCCGCACCAGTCGCAGGAGCTGCTTCCTCATCCGCCAAAATCAAATTGGCACTCATGTTCTCCAGATTCTGCACGATGTTATTCAAGATCAGTCGTATTCTGCTTTTACCTCTGGGACCAGCAGAGGAAGAGCGAGCATTTTGACGACGTTCGGCCGCTTCGCGTTCGCGAGAAGCGCATCTCATGCGCTCCAATGCTAGATACTGCTTGTACTCCTTCACCTTTTTCACGTGCACCCTGGTCAGATCGATTTCTCCGTTCTTGCTTCCGCCCGTGGCAGTGCTTATCCTTCTCTTCTGCTGCATGCGATTCTCATACTGGATAATCCGGTCTAAAGCGCGGTTAGGGTGGACCATACCCGCTCGATAGCGAGTGTAGTCGTTCATTTTTTTGTTGCTCAGGTAGACAATTCCAGCACGACAATCAGCAGCGGCCAATTCCAGCACGAGACAATTCTGTACGAGAGCTGCCAATTCCAGCACGACAATCAGCAGCGAATTGATGATGTCTTCAGCCCTGAGAGGCCCAGAGAGCCAGGAAAATTCGAAGTCTGCTTATTTCTTTCTGTTCACTTCTTGATGTGCCGCAGGAACCCTACGCATTCGAGAATCAGATACAAGTATTGGTTTTAGGAAATCGAAATAGAGAACCAGCATGATGGAAAACGAATATCAATTTCCAAGAGAGATGTTGTGAATGATTTTCGTAACAAGTAAGTAGAAGTGTCTGTGTAACGAGAACGGGGGACGGCACTATGGTCAAATCATGTAGAAACCGAACCAGAAAAACTCATGCGCGACATGATTCGTGAAAAGGATGATCTTAAAAACCGACGGAAAAGATACAACCGAAGAAGATTGACCTTGAATGAAGACAGAAGCAGATGATGACCGAGACTTCAACCGATGCTGGCAGCGTCCAACGCAGCTTGTTCAGATCGATGATAAGTAACGAAGCAATAACATAGAACAGGACTCGCCTCGCTACGAAATTATGACGGCAAGCGGGAGTCCCGTAGATCCCAGATCGTTTTTTTTTTTTCTTTATCGGGAATGTGGGTCGTGGGAGATCCTGGGCATGCAATTCTCTTTCTTGCGGTACAATCTTGTTGGATTTGTTGAAGTAGGTATGTACAGGGTGCGGTGAGTCATCCTCGATGTTTCGGCAGGTCATTTTGTCGGGGAATGTAATTTGTGTTCTATGTTGACATGCAGGAGGCCTTAGCCGTTTTACAACTATTTTCACCGTGTCTTTTACGTTCCGTTCTGCTTCTATTTCTCACAGTACGTTAATTTCGAGTTCGACTTCTAGGAACGTATGATTAGTTCAGCTCTACGTTTGTGAATATTTCTAACTTCAGGTTGGTTTTCTGCACATGATAATTGGTCTCCGTCTTTAGCGGTACCTTCATTCGAATTCATGATTTTGTTGTTTTTATTCCTGAAACAATTATATGCGGTTAGAAGACATGATGTTCTGTAGATAGTAGTTGGATACGTTAATCGTTTCTACGAAGTTTAACAATAACATACTCTTACTCACTTAGTTACGTTAAATTTTGTTTTCGGACTAGGTATAGGTTTGCATCAAATTTGGATTTCTCGCGGAGTCACGTAGTCTATGAGGTCAAGAAACTTTGTCTCTGTGTTTCATCGGTCTAGTTCGAAAATGTTCTTGGAAATACGCTCTTATCATGGAAGACATGGATGTGATTGCTCAACGCTATTTAGCTCACTGGAGTTACTTTGCAGAAAATTTTTGCTTGAGATCTCGTGCATACTGGTAGCTCTTGTTTTCTACTGTGCAAACTCTATCACTGCCATTTTTGTTGTGTTCTATGTTGGACATACGCAACTTTGTACTAGGTAATGCATCTTATCGATACTATCGATCGCAAAACTACTAATTCATTCTAGGTAGCTGCACATCAAGGGAGGTGTTCATTTCAGTCAGTTGTACTTGTAGATAATTAAATCGATCCTTAATATGCATAATACGTTCATGATGTTTTTACGTTGATGGCAATCGCATATGAACAATCAATCTTTTCGTTGTTGTAGTATGTACATCTAAAAAACTCTACTTCCTCCAAGCCTGAACCCTGATGGTTCAAACCCCGAAGTATCATTCCCCCAGATGAAGTACCTAATGCACTTCATCTTTTTTACCTCGACACCACCACTCGTCAAGAAGCAAGTACCTAATGCACTACTCCTTTTTCTAACATTTTTACAAAAAATGTCGATTTCCTTTTTTAATCCCCAGCTTCACGCGCTCACGCACGACGAGCGAACAATGACGCCTCCAACGTCCTCCACTGAGTTGTAATGAACATCAGTAAAGAACCTGCGAAGAAGGCACCAAACAGGAGTCCACCTCCACCCATGCGTCTGTTAGCACTCGCAGTAGTCCACTCACCAACAACGCCGCCTCCTAGTTGCGGTGGTCCAACGCTGTCGACTTTCTCCACGCTGTAGATACCCATTGGAAGTTGATTGCCGAGGTTGGTGAGGAGGAAGCCGGAAAAAGGCGCCTTGTACTCATTCAGTGCTTGCGAAGCTGCGTAAGCTGCACTAGCAGAACGATAGACCAGCAAGGTGTCGACGTGGAGGTATTGAGACATTTGCTGTTCCTGTAGTCGGCGTGCTGGAGAAGCCTTCCGAGACAACTTCTGCGATTCTGACAGCTCTGACTCCGTTCGTCGGTCGTCGTGCACTAGTGCCGGTGTAGGATCCTGTGAGTAGATCCGCTGAGTAGCGATAGCATGGCTGCGCGCTGGTGACACACCGCGCATTGGGTTTTGCTCGAAGAAGTCAGAAGTACTACTAGTGGCAACTGCTGAAGAAGACGAACCTTCTTCTACTTGGTCAGATGAAAATCCCAATGCTTTCGCCGCTTTCATTCCCGTCTCCTCCACAGCCGCTCCAAGTCTTCGTCCCCAAGAGACTACCGCTTCTCCAAACGACAATGCAGCAGTCTTCGGACTGAAGACACCTCCACTGCGCGTACAACAACTGCCAGAAAGCATTTCGCCTAAAGACCGTCGTCGATTGATGAACCCGCAACCCAGAGTACTGCACGTGATACAATGAATTTGTGTGCGAACTTCTTGGTACAAATTAGCATTCGGAATCCGGTCCAAAGAGTTCTGGAAACTGAAAAGCAGAGCTTGCCTCAGGTTGTTACTCGCATTCAGCTCGATCTCGGACATGCAATCGAGAAAACGAAGGACGATGGTTACCTGTATGATTGATGTGAATTGGGTGGAGATCCTTTTGTTGATTCGAAGTGGCAGTGCTGTTGTTGATGATGTAGACGTTAGTTAGAATGATAATCATTTCGACGGTAAGAGAAATGACGTGCGTAAATAAATATCATTCAAATTCAATATTAACGTGATAATTTTACTATAGGTACTAGGTAACTTGAAGTACCCTCCAAGCAATCTGCATCTTCGAGATTGGTCTCACAGGCACTTTTGCCGCAAACAATTCATCTTCGGTCTGCTGCATCTCCGTGAATTCTGCCGTTCCCACAGTCGGCGCCTTCGTCACTTCACGTACAATCATAGACTGAGCCAAATCTGAACCGCTCAGACTCACTGCCATGACCAACTGCGTCGTCAAAGTGCCAATGTCGATACTGTCGATCGTAGCCAGCAATAGACTATTGCAAGTCAAAGTTGGCAGTCCGTCGCAGCTTTGTCCGCCAACCGAGCCAGTGGCTGATGCGTCGTTACTGGCAGTAACGATCTGGTAGTTGACGTCCAATTCGACTTGTTTTGCTTCATCCGCGGCCGCTTGTTCGGTAGTTAGCTTTCTACTTCGTCTGCTGGTGGAATTGATTGCAGAAGAACCACTACTTGCAGAAGAACTAGCAGTATGAGCACTCGCTGCAGCTGCAATCGATGTGATTGTCACGCGTGATTCGTCGAGTTGCACACTGGCTGCAAAACCCTTCTCTAGCGCACCTTTCAACGCTGAGTCTGCCATGATCACACTGGCAGTTTGAGCTGGAGACATCACCTGCGCGTTATTGCCGCCCAAAAATTCGAATTTGATAGGCACCGCGATGTCATTGGTGTATCGGATCAACAGCCTAGGATCTTGAGTCGTGGTTGGTGGTGGCGGTGTGGTGGTTGGTGGTGGCGTAGTGGTGGCGTCTGCTGCCTCGACTGGCGTACCTTGAGTTGCGCGAGGTCCTTGGACCGTGACTAGGCGTGGCGGAGAACTCTGTGCGTACTCGCAGGAGTGGCCGAAATTCGCTCTCAAAATCGCAGTCGAGCATGGAGCCGGAACTTGCCAGCCGTCTCCGCACGGCGCAACTTCCTTTCCTGGAGACAGACAGATGTAAACTGCTGGACTGGCGTTCGTCAATCGCGTGACGCACTGGCAGGCTCCACCCGCGTGCTTCCCCTCCAAACACAACTGTTGTTCTGTCGAAGTCGACGCCAAAGGGGAAGATGTTCCGCCAGGCGCAAAGCAGGTGTGTTCTTCGAACAAGTAGCGTAATTCCCACAACTGTGTAGCAGCATTGTACAGCAGGATTGTGGGTTGAGGATTCGCCTCCGTCACCGCCTTGATGAAGATATTTTCACCATAGCGATCCTGCAACAACAAAACGGCTTGTAGTAAGGAGTTTCCAGCACTGGCGGTAGTACTACTCGAATTCGAGGAACTCGAAGTACTGCTTTCCGGCACAGTGGTCCATCCAGTCGCCGATCCGCCAGACGACGCTGGAATCTTCGAGCCCAAAACGTCCCTCACCAACGGGTCAATTTAGAGCAGGCTTCTACGGAATTATTTTTACATTCTTCAGAACATCAACATCCCTGGCCTCTTTTCTACTAGGAAAAGAGTCACTTCTCAGGGATGTTATTATATGGAACCCTAACCCTAACTCAACCCTAAACCCACCTAAATCGACGTCTAAAAAGTTTGACACAACTTCTGTTAAGGCGAAGAATGAATCTATGGATCAGTGAACTCGGAAAGAAGAATGAATCTAAGGCTGTTCCAAAAATTCGGAAAGAACGAGCCTTAATCAATAGGTTCGTGGCTGTTGGTCGATGACAAGCTGATGTAGACGCCGAAGAACTCTGTCCAGACACCGGAATAGAGGTAGTAAGCCGGATCCGGGTCTGCTGCAATGACGGGCTTCACGTTGTGCGCCTTGAGGGACTCAGAGTAGACACTGTGGTTACTCACGTGCCAATTGCCGCTGTTGGTGCAAAGGGTCTTCACGTGATCCGTCGGGCACCGCATCACCTCAGCCTCAGCGGCGTTGCAAGGAGAACAATCTGCATCGTTCACGAGGCCACCCTGGTGATGTTGAAGCGATTTTTGAATATATTCATAACCCTGATGAGGAGATTACTAGGAAAAATATGTTCCCGAGAAGATGAAGTTGAAGTTGCAAAAATAATATTAATAAATAATGAGGTAGATGAGCATTTTTAGTAAAGACCCTGTACTTGAAGAGCTCGTACAGAAGATAACAAAAGCATGCTCAACTTGAGTACAGGCGACACACTCGGGCACATTGTCGGTTGACGGAAGTAGTAGGTGTCTGGTGTAGAGCTAGCAGCCTTGTTCGGATCTATTTGGAGGAGCCAGGGCTTCAACCCCATAGCCAGCAGAGCCGGGTGGACCAGCTGCCACGTGGGTGATTTCGAATAGATCTCGTTGCCAAATGGCGCGTTGCCAATCCTGACGTATTTCCCAGGCAGCCAAGCAAGTGCGCAACGCAGGTACTGTTGGTACGGTCGCAAGTTGGAGGACGAGGACATGCCGGTGTGTGTGCGAAGAGACTCGTGCGAGCAAAGTTGCTCGGAGAGTGGTAAAAACGAAGAGGAAGAAGAAGAGGAAGAAGAAGAGCCTGAAGAGCTTGGAGATGTTGCTGGCATCTTCTTCATGGTCACGATCATGATGGCTGGATAGGTCGTATCTCCCGCCAAAGCAGGATTCCACGGCGATTCACTCGCTTCAACTGCAGGCGGCCCCTCATGCATCGTCACAGTGGGAGCACTCACGCCGTCAGCTTGTCTGTGCTCAGCCTGCCACCCTGTGCTGCAGAGAGCGTCGTAGCCGACTTTGGAGTTACAGCTGTAGAGGACGGGAAGGCCAGGATGTCCCTGAAACATGTAACCCATGTAACCGTATCCGGGTTCTCGTCCGTCTGGTTTCCATCGCTCATGCGTCATCGGGTAAGAAGAGTAGTGCTTGGAAGGAAGTTTGACACCAGTTACGGGGGCGGTGAGCGGAGCGGTAGCTGTGAAGGTTGTTGGAGTGAGTGCAGGATTTTGTTACTTGTTTTTATGAATTATAATGAATACGTTCCATGTTCATGTAATATCAGTTGGCTCTTGTTCAGATTGATCGTATCTGCCCGTCCTCGTGATCATGGTTTCTCAATCTACTCAAATCACATCCAACTCCACCAAGCTCAAGATTACCATCTCCCAAATCCCAGCTGCCTCTCGGGATCTCCTCAAAACTTTGGAAATTTCTTTCCCAAGGATTGACTTGACCTGTCAAGTTTGCAAGCAGGAGCCACCTGTGTCGAATGTGATCATAGTACACCATGCTTGTGCCGTTCACCTGCTCATAGATTCTGTCCAGTCCGTGGACTCCGTCTCTATTTGCATGCGTCGGAAGTGTTGCGACACCAGTATGCACGCCAACAGTGTTGGACCGCGTGGTGACTCGAGAGAAGTGAGTGACGGCGCCGACCGCTGGAAAGAGTGTGATTGTAGTGAAGTTTTAGAAGGAAAGAGTGTTCATACTAGTCTTAGTTCTTACTGATTCTTGAGAATTCTTGTAAATGTAATACTTTTTTATAGTTAAAATTTCCACGAAGACCATCAATTTCTCTCTTCGTCCAGAAAAGTCTAAGTACTAGAGTAGTAACGAAGCACCGCAGGACAGCAAATCTAGTACAACATCAACCTATGGTATTCTATAGTGTACAGCGTTACCTCCATCCACCCCAGCCGCTCTGTCCGCGATCGGTCTTGCCAGATACCGCATAGTGCCAGGCGAGTAAACGTAGAGACCATCCACACCGGGAAAACCACAGTTTTCGAGCTGAAACACCCAAGCTTTGCTTACTTGATTCGTTGTGACCATTGGGTGAAGCATTGAGGAGCGACGTGGAGCTTCCTTACACTGCGCAACTTGATCGTCTTGCTTGTACTCTGGCTTGAAAAAGTCCTTCTGCGTTGCGATGGTGGAAGAGCCTGGAATGGGAGATGAAGAGCTGCGTCTATTTCATCTACTAGTGCAACATTCAACATTGCAAAGAAGTTGTAGACGTCGCGCGTCTTCTATTTTTAGTGCAAGAACATTCATTGCAAAGAAGTACTTTTTAGACGCAGCACCAAGACCAAGGTTCAGCAAGGTTCATCAGAGTTACTATAGTGAAATTTAATAACTGATCTTGTGATTCTAAGTACCACTCAGCGACAATCCGCTGCTCGTGATCTCAGTCGACAATTGTTCTGCAAATTTGTCGCGTTCGTTAGAAGCCGGTAATTGCCACTGAGGCGAACTCTCCATATTGCACATGTAGGTCTCGTCACACGCCACCCAGTTGTCCAAGCTCGACGATAGACAGGGGTCAACCTCGCTCGCGCTTCCGCCAGAGCAGACGAACGTCATTTTTCCCGTCTTTGCTTGGTCATAGACAGTGATCGTTTCGCCCATGATCAGACGCCATCGATTAGCCGGTGCTTCGTAGACCAACATGGAAGTTGTGTCCTTGTGATGCGTAGGATGTGTCCAACCAGTCAACTCTGTCAAAGTGAACTGTTCGATGAAGTGGATGGGGTCAACGTACCAATCGTAGGAACGGAGTAGATGCGGTTTAGGGATCTCAACGTGATCGAGTTGACGATGTTCAGTTTCCTCATTTTTAGGGTCTTCTTCCTCTGCAGGAGCACTTCTAGGAAAAATAGGCATACTCCACCATGAGCCTCCCGAAGTTGTTGATCCCTTGTTCTTAGGCTTCAAGAAGTTCTTCAACCCCAAAATCTTGCTGGCCATAGCGTCTGCATCGTGGTGCTTGGATTCAACGTCGCCATCGGCTGAGACGAGGTCTGTAGACCAAGTTCGTGCTTCGACGATGGCGAAACGAGGTCCCAGTTGTTCTCGTTGGAACTTCGCAGCCAAGAAGCGCGCCTCTCGAGAGTACTGGGCAGCCGCGATTAACCGGTCGATGTCAGCGCGCTTGAGATTGCTGCGTTCCACCTTTCTACGAAGTTCTTCCGCGTCTTGTCTTTGCAGTTCGCGCAGCGTTGCGAGCGAGTACCGGGTTGTCGGAGTTGTCTGCTGCGGTTTCCCAGCACGGCCCTTGTCGGCTTGTGCTCCATCTTCATCTTGATGCTCATCATCATGACCAAACTCAGCTCCACCTTCCAATGCTCGAGTCGCAGTGGTGTGTGACACCAACCCATGATGAGCGAAATTAGCTAACATGCTTGCCTCTTTGGCCAGGCCAGTACGAATGTCGAAGCCAGGCCACACGCCATCGCAGGTACTTGTGCACTTGCTAGTACAGTTCAGATCCAACGCAGCTGAGCTATTCTGCGATTGTCGGCAGAGAGGTGCGAAAACTGGTATAATGGATATGGAGTAGGTCTAGGTGGTTGTTGGAAAAATATTTAGGGTCAAGAGTTCTCGAGTGAGTAAAAAATGTAAAAGTAGATCTCAACATGATAGATTGTTCTTTTCGAGACTCTTAACCAGAACAACATATCATCTACTTACGTGAAATCAAGACTCATCATCATCTACAACTGAACAATCAAATCACGTATTAAGTCTATTAACAAAAATCAAATCACGTAAGTCCTCTATTAAAAAGTAGTACCCAAATTCGTGACGCTCCCTGCATATTGGTCGTCCGAACTGCACATCTTAGCTCTCGTCTGCGTGTTGCATGTGTAGCTCTCATCCATCGGTTCTTTGACGATGCCAGAATAGGAATCCGGCAATCCCAGTTCGTCCATGAAGTACTTCACAGGCGACTTCCCGCCTCCCTTGTGCTGATCTCCCGCTCCCAACCGGCCACGATAGGCATCCAAAGGATGGACGAAGTTGGTACTCGACAGACTCAAAGCTGTGGCGATCTGCTGTCTGGTAGTGTCATGCTTCATCTGGTCCAGCTCGAAGGGGCCTTGCTGCAACCCGTAAGCGAGATTCGGCAATCCCCAAATCTCAATCTCGAGGTGCGCGTCTTGGCCCAGTGCCGCTCCGGATGTCGTGACACCATATCGGTCGTAGACAAACCGATGCACATGCACTGCTTGTGCTCCCGTAGCTGACTTCACCAACTTGGCATAGCCCTCAACAGTCGCTTCGTTCAAAAACGGATTCGAGTCTCCGCCTCCCGGTGACCCAACCGTCCACCTCTCGCCGAACAACTGGTCGATGAATGTACTGCCGCGCATCTGTCGGTACACAACTGCGTAAGCGGAATTGTCAGAGCCTTGCGTGATGCCAAATCGTTCGGTGGCTGTGGCGCCGGTTGCGATACCGGAATACAGGTAGTAACCGCACAATCCGCGTAGTTGAGGCCCAGAACAAGCGACGAAATAGAGAAAGGGGTGCCGAGTGGCGTTGCGTTCCATCACAGCAGCATGGTAGAAACCCATTTCGGACTGGAAGAAATAGAAGGAGTGGAAGAAGAAAGACTAGAAATTCATGGAGAAGATAAAAAAGTGCTCCCCTAAGTACTCAAGAACAAGAGAAAACAATTTACAATCCACGTCTGATTATTAGCTTGTAGTAGTGAGAAGGATATGAATCGACAAATATAAGTGGACAAAAGTCTATATCTATTACCGCCCCTCCCGCCAGCGCCGATTTCGCCAAGGCCGTTGGGCCTTCCGTGTTTATCATGTGCTGCACGCCTTTGATGTAGTAGTCAGCATTCCCGAATTCATCCGAGAACGCAAATTTTGCATCGAACTTCGAATTGTAGGGTCTGCAGATGTCGTACTTGTCATTTGGCGCCGTCCCAGTGAACGACTGTGACTGGAAAACGGCACATTCCTCAGTATCGACTTTCTTTGACAATCTGGCGACGGTCTTCGGAACAAGCAATTGTACTGCATTGCTCGAATCCAAGGCGTTTTCGGTTTCTGGGTTGCATTTTTCTGCCGCAGCAACAGTGGATGACGCATAGGCTGCTTCGGTGTTCTTGCCAGTACCGTGGATCGGCTCCAAGTAACTGGAGTTGGTTCCTCCACCCATCGCAATACCATGAGAACTTGGCGGTCCAAACTGCCTGATGCCCAAAATCGTTGATTAGAGTCTGCGACTCGATTGCATCTCGGCCGGGTCCCTTTTCATCTTGGGGTGGTCCCTTATTTTACGACCTTGTATAATTTCACGAGAACACAACTAAATGTTGACCATAAGTTAACACTGCTTTGCAATCCACACTCTTCACTGCCTCCCCATTCGCTTCCTCTGCAATAACGCCCAAGTGCGAGTGTGCGTGAGTGGTCGGACAACTCGTCCACGGATTGTCGAACGGGAAGTAGCGCATCGCCAAACACCACAGGTTAGGATCCTGGGTCCGCAAATCTATGAAAGAAAAAAGTGCACTCACAGCACTCAGAAAAAGTGGCTATTTTCCTACTTAAATCCTAGCCAATTTCTTGAGTATGAGTGCACTTTTTCGTTTCATAAAATCGATACGACTCTTACTCTTGTGGAGATTCGTTCCTCGTAGGTTGAAGAGGAGGATGTTCACCCCAGCAGCAAAGTAGTAGCTGGCAGCCGAATGACAATCCATCCAGGACTCTCTGGTGAAGAAGAGATTGCCCCAAGCACTGGCTTCGGCACGTTGAACGGCTTGATAACCTTCTGGATCAATGTGGGAAATTGCGATATCGAGAATGGTTCTAGCCCAGTTTTGAGTGACGAGAGAGGAACCGTACATGCCACCGGTGGGGATGGGTTAGAGGGAGAAGAAAATTTCATTTAATACGATGTCTTGTACTAATTATAATAGCAAGAATTCATTCTCTTTCTCGGTGAGAGAAAAAGTCGAGAATCCGTGACTAGCAAATGCAAATCTTCCTCAGGTGTTGATAATAGCACTCGTCAAGGATCTTCAGGACCACTATGACTATTTATAATATGGGTGGAGCCAACCTAACTAGGAAAAGTAAAAAGAAATGTATCTGACTATCATAATCATGTAATATAAAAATGTAAGCCTGTCATAATCATTGTAGTCTTTCCTTTGTGGCAATCCTGTGACACTGCTGTCGTGACCACAAATCCCGTTCACGTCGACAAAAGCAGATGGTGCTTGGTAGCTGGCCGCTCCTCCTAAAACCGTACATGCGCCGCCTTCCGGACACAAACCCGGAAATGAACGCGTCACGTCGTTCGCCACGTCCAAATACGTGTTGCCGCATGTGAACAGCACTTCTTCATTCAACAAGGCATCTCGCAATTCAAACGGATATTTCAGGTACGTCCCTTCACTCCTCGGATGAAGCAAGTGGAACAACGACTGTGCACACTTCAGCAGCAAGCTGTTGGGTGTGTTCACATCTGCAACAACTGGAATTGCTTGTTCGCGGGTCCAACAGGATCCTGGTCTGTTGTCGTACACCAGCATGACCTTCTTGTAGACGTCGACACAGGTGGCGAGAGTACCGCAGCCACCGACGTCCCAACTGTTAACCATGTCGAGGCCTCCAGCTGCTCCGTTCCATCCGGTTAATGTTCCATCAGACAAAGCCACCGTACCGGTCGCGTCACCAGTCGCATTTTTGTACAACGGAATCTCCGTGAAGGGTGCGATATTGGCAACTGCTCTGATACTAGTGACCATCGCTGCCTTGGCATTGATCACATTGCCACTAGCATCGAGGTTGCTAGCAAGATGTTGCGTGTGGCACTTGTACGTGCCTTCTCTGGTCCATGTGTAAAGAAGTGAGCGCATGGTCTTTAGACCAGCAGTGACGGCAAGGACACCAATAGGACGACGACAATTCATCGCACGCATGCCGATTTTGAGGACCTGTTAGTCGTGGTGATAAAATTTAAATGGAGATCAAACGCAGCCTTCATCACCTTAAACAAGAATACTCTGTCGTGACAATATCTTCTAAGTGCATCTACTCACCACACTTCCTCAAACTCATCCATCTTCATGGTAAAATACTACTAAGAAGTAAAACCTCATTAATTTCCTCTTTCCTTATCGCCTGCTGAATTCCCGCGGAGATCGCGCTCGTCGAATTCCAGGCGAAGGTGTGGCATGCTTCGCTGTAGGACGCAGGACACACACTGCTGAATTCCACACACTGCAGTATTAGAGCTAGAAGAAATCCATCTTCAGCGGCATCTTCCGTCTTTTTTCCCTTGAGAAACGGGAACAAGATGCCTGTGAGGATGGATTTCTTCTAGCCTTAACAGTAGTTCAGCTCTGTAAGTCGCCGCTCGAACTTCGACAGTCAGTGCACCTGGACCCGGCCGATCCACTTGCTGCAATTGACGTTCTCTCCTCCCGTCGACGTGTTTCTTAGAGATCATAGACGAGAAGAAACATGATGTACGTAGTATATTTCGTCTTACTTAAATTTATAATACTGAGCTTAGACGATGACGAGAAGAAACTAACAGTAACATGTAGTTTATTTATTCGTCTTATACTTAATTTTACTGATGTTGAACGTGAAGCTTGAAGGAAGCCAAGAAAATAAAAATGTTCTGAGGCAGCTGAGTCAAAGGATGGATAGGTACAACTAGCATGTAGAGGTGCGTACTCGTACATGTTGATTGCGATTGCCAATAATTTCTTTATTGCCTTAACTTTCGTCACCGAAACTTTCGAGTCGCTCTGCACCTGCACGAATTCTTTTGCGATGTTGATCGCATAATCCTTGATGTTCGTCCCCACGACACGGGACCACAGCATTCCATCTTCGTCCGGGTAGTACTCATATTCGTAGTACGTTCGCAACGACGGCGGTTTTGATGGTGCCGAAAGATGGCGTCCTTTGTGTGAAAAAGGTGAATGATCTTGATGTTGGTGGTCATCGTGTTCGTGATGTGGATGTTGTAGATCTCCTCCTTGTGCTCCTCGATTTCTGCCTGAACTAGAGCTGGAACCTCGTAGGACCTGTTCGGTTCCAGCGCCAGCCGCATAAGCAGCTAGGCAACAAATCGCAGGCCACCTCATCTCATTCCAGGAGAAGGTGGCAGACGAACCATCGGCATTGGATTTTTGCTTTATGCGAAGTGGATTTTGATGTTTTTGGGTTGTTTACGTTCTTTGGGTCTATGATGAAAGGTTGTATCTTCAGTGATCAACATGAGACTACAGGTTTGGGATTAAACAGGAAGTACATCATGGAGTAGAAAATTTGCAACTGATTATTGTGTTCCGACGAAAGAGGTTGCATCATTTCGTCACATAGATATCGACGTGTAGCCTGTTGATGAACAAGAACCTATGCCTAGAGGTAGCGATATGTAGTTACTTACTTAGACTTCATTATCACAATGGGGTGAGTGTGGGAGGTTCATAGCGACGAAAGGGAAAATTGAATCAGGACCGAGGCTCCTGGAGCTTTGTGAACTGCACGAAAGCGAAACGTCGATGAGGATGATGCTTGAAGAACTACCGAGGATCATCGAGTTCTAGTTGTGCTGCTACACGATGAGGATCGACCGAATGGAAGCCGAGTTGTCTCAGATAGTTTTAGTCGATCGTGATTCATCTACTCTTTCTCTTCATGTGGTGGAACACAACAATCAATTCGATGCTCTCGTAACCGCTCCCACCTCAAACATACATTTTTTGTCTATGTAGTCTATTCTTCATCCTTACAAATGTGAACACTGAAAACTCGCTTTGCTCAGCTTTTCTTTGGGTTTCGTACTCCCATGTTGTCCAGATGAAGACGAAGCTCTCGAATATCACGAAGAATAAGAAATGGGGATCGTGTTATCTTACGTAGTTGCGCCGGAACTCACCTTGATATGAAAAATGTTAACAGCTGCTTTTTCTTCACACACTCACACACAAAGGAAGTGCAGCAGTAGAGGCCTACCACTAGTACTTCTAGCACTAGTGTAGTACTGCAAGAAGTCTTCTCCTGCGGAACGAATTGTCACGCAGTATCTCGGCTGCTTCTCCACATCGCTAGTTCACAACAGAGTAATTGGTACTTTGTTGTCCCGGTTGTCCGCCCATGGGTTGCATCATCACCGGCTGTTGTACCGTTTGCATCGGCACTTGTTGCATACCTCCACCCGCAGGCATCATTATATTAGAGGTACCGACGTGCATCCCTGAGAGCCTCCCTCGGCCCTGAGAGCCTCCCTCGAAAAAAGGGCTAAGGATAGATTTGTGGCCGATTGTACGGTCTTATGCGCGCCCAGTATGTAATTTGGATGATCTTATAAATATGGGCTAAATAATTGATTGAAAGGGTGGCAGCATATAGTCCTAACGCAAAAAAAAAAATGCTCCAGCGGTAGCCTTAATTATAACCGGTTGCACACCTCCTCCACCTGCTGGGGAAACCATCCCTCCACCAGGACCCATCATCCCGCCAGGTCCTAACATCATGCCGCCTCCGGGTCGGGCGAAACGGGCGGGGAATTAGAGAATGTCCCCTATTATTATTATTATTATTATTATTATTATTATTACAAGCTTTCACGGAGGGTACCCCAGAGGGGGGACCCTCCTCCTCAGCTTGTCCAAACTATAAAGAGGGCAGACATTTTATCGCAACTACGACAGAACACGTCTCTCCTCTCAGTGGTAGCAAACTGAAGACCTTGCGGGTTTTTTCTCACCGTATGGCATGCCAAGAGTGTCCACTTTCGAAATTAGTGGGCATCTCTCTCAGAAATTCGCTTCTCTTCATTCTGCTCGGGTCTTCGCAATCCTTTCCGGAACAAAGCAAGAAAGGGCTCGCCACGGAATTCAAATCCAGGCTCCTCGCTGATCTCTCAGAACCGTTCTGCCCTCTCTCTTCGCCCCGCATTTAGGTTCATTAAAAGTCCCCAAGAGTATCACGCTCGTCATGCAGATAAGAGAAGCTCTCACCCTCTCGCGTCATCTCTCTTCGCTCGTCTTCCGGGGAGTTTTCTTTTGCTGTGGTTGTTTTGTTCTCTTCTCCCATTCGGTTGAACTCTTTTGAACTCTCAGCCCTCGCCGTTGTTTTCTTTTGATTTTCCCCGGGAGTTCTCTGTCTTAAGTTTCCTAGCTTCTTCCACAGTTTTCGCTGTTCGTTCACATCTACGGCGCCCGTTTGATACTTCTGAGCTCTATTGTGTCGCCTCTCTATTGTGTTTGGGTTGTATTTATAGCCCCTTCGTCTCCTTCTTTGTCTATCTCTTTCGCTGTTGTTTCCGGTTTAGCCTGTTAGTATCAAAGATGGGCGTCTCCCGTTTTCAACCTCGAAGGGGCGCCCGTTTGGGGGTAGTTTTTCCGAAAAAGGTCGACGCGCGGACACCTCCGAAGCAAATGAAGGACGAAGAAGCAGCAGCATGGGCGCGCGTCTTCTTCTGGTCATGCTTTCAAGAACAGGCGAAGGCATGCGGGGAAAGTAGTAACACTAACAACAGAGACAAAAAAGAAAACGAAGGCGCGCGGGATGGAGTTGCTCAACTTGGTGAAACAACGCAGCAAAAAGACAGAGAAGTCACCGAAAGAGGCGCGGCCTACTATCTTCGCAATCTTCGCTGATGTGGTCGGAGAGATATCCCCGACCATGGGCGCAGCCCTCCAAGTTTTTGGCAGCAGATTGGACGTCTTTGACATAACAGGGAGGACGTGGCCCGGTTCCAGTGTGTTATCACTGTGCGAGATGTCTACGCGGTTGGAGCTTTCTGACGAATTAGCAGGGCACGCGACGCAGCAACTTCGCACACTTTTGCGCAAGTGTCGCCTCCGGCAGCGGGTGCAGCTCTCCCTTCTTCTTTCACAGACTGCGGGCGCCTCGTTCGTCGCATTCTGTGCCAAAAGAGTAGAAGACACACGAAAGAAGTCCGGCCCTCGACTTCCAACTAGGCGCAATCTCCTCCCGGAGTTTTTGCAAACTGGTGGCACTTGGGGTGGTGTCTTTACGCCGAACTTCGCACCGCCGAGCCAACTCTGAAACACTGTGAGCGCGCAGAAGTGGACGGTCGACAATGTTAGGCGCCTAGCGTTTGCGCAGCTGATTCCGCGGGCTCTCTTGACGAAGCTCATCAAGCACGCAAGGGGCCGGCGGATAGCGTTAGAAATGACCGACGACATGCGTGAACTGCGGGGCATATCCTACATCACTGCGAAGAACTGGGCCCATGCTCTTTGTTTAATTATAGGCGCTAGAGTTTTGCGACGGTTACACGCCGACGGGCTCAGGCTCGCGCGCCGCTCTTTGTCGAATTTTTGGGCTTCCTGAGTCCTGAGGGCCTGGCACTTCGGTGAACCTCTCCGCACTTTTATCCAAGTTATACCAGATTGCGCGCGTTTTAGTGATACAACACGCGCGGCGACAGATAAAAGGAAAGCGGTGGACAGTGAAAAAAGACGCGGCCGGTAAAGTGCCAAGGCTCCTGAGTGTTCCGGGAAGTCCATCGGCCTGGCTCCTTTGTCGGATGGCTTTGCAGCACACATTTCGCGATCTTACCCGCATCGAACGCGCGGCAAAAAACGGGAGGACACTGGTCGGGTCCTATCTTCGAGGCGGTCGCTTGCGGTGTGCAGAGCGGCGCGCGCAGTGCTCGGAAGGGGGGGCGGCGTCGACCTCCGCGATTTCGGTGGGCCATGATGAGGAAGCAGAGAGCGACGAGGGAGGCTGCTGCGCCTTTATTTCCACGCGGAGACGTTCTCGAGGCAGAGAGGGAAGAAGACTGGCCGCGCGCAATTCTCGCCCTTTGTGGTAGGCTCCTCTCTCATTCGCTGGCAATTGTGTGTCTGCAGCTATCTACTAAGTAGCTGAGGAGCTCACCTCCAAGGCGCGCCGCGTCTGTCCTGTGTGTTGTGATAGTGTCTAAATTAGCAAAAAAAAACTTTTTTTGGAGGTTTTGGCACAAACGAGCAAAGGAAGCAAAAGCGTGACAGCATTCGTTTGCTTAGGTAGAAAAATGGAAGAAGTGCCCGAATAAATTTGGGCGGATGATACTAAGTCACACGCCCAAGCGCTGCCCGCTCTCCAATTATACTGAAAGAAACCGCCCGAAGCTTGGCGCCGTTGGCGTTTGCTTTGAAAGACTGGCAAAATTTTGCTTCTAGTTCTTCGCGCGATCTTGGTAGGGCAGTCGGTTCCGTTCGATTGTTGTCCCCCTATTTTCTTAGGCGTGGCGTGTATCGTCTGCCTCTGTGGTGTTCATTCTATTCCACTGCAGCGCGGCAACCTTCGGGAGCCTCCTGGCAATAATAGGCCTGGAGGCGGGGCATGATAATGAGGAAGACAAGCAAGTGGGCTCTTCTGGTGTATAATCCATCCTCGGCGAGTCCGGTTAAATTAATAAGAACAGCGGGCGCCGATCTCGGTGAGAGTGAAGAAGAGGCAAAAGATAGAAGGGCGAAAGGCGTCCACCTGCGTCCCTTTTATCTCGCTGCCACTACTTCGCGCTTATGGGAGCTGTCGGCCGATTTTCTTACTATCGGCGGAGGGATGGCGCCTCAGTTATTGCTTCGACCTTTTAACAGGGTAAGTGAACAAGTGCGGGCGGTGTTGTGTTATCTTGGTGGTGCATGAAACAGAGCCCCACTGCATGGCGCTCATGCTCGCTGGTGCTATCTGTGTTAGCTAGAAGATTTCGGGCAGCAGAGTGCTCGCCACGGAGTTAAGTGATGCAAGCGAGGGCGTTGCGGCTATGTTTCTCCACAAGGGTAGTGGTGTGCTTCTGAGAGATTCCCCCGAATGTTTCGCGCCTTTCCCTAAATCTGATTTCTCGCGTGGTAGATGCGGCTGAGTTCCTTTGGAGTTGTTCGAGTGTTCACGCTATTGCTTCTGGTCTTTGTAAGTGCAGCGCATTGGGCTCCGCGTGGCTTTCTGTCTATCGTAGCTCTGGCAATATTTCAGAACTCGGGCGCATTCTTGCCGGCATTTTGTACGGCTTTGGAACTGTGTGCCTCGGTTTTCTTATCGTTGTCCCCTGTGTTTTCTTCACAAGTTGAAGGAAAGGCATAGAGCTGCACACACTGAAGAACATTGACCGCGAAGCGCGCAGGCGTTGACATATTGACACTTCTAACCGACCAAGGGCAGTGGCATAAGCCTTCAGGAATTCCATGCGTGGCAATCATGGCAATCATCGCGCGCGGCTGATCTGTGTGTGACGGTGTGCGTTTCGCCTCTGTGTCTTGTACGTAAAGCCGTTCTCTTCTGTTATGTTGTTCGACCCCTTGCAACTAACTAGCGGCGCCCTGCGTCGCAAGCTGTTCCCTGTGAGATCTCAAGTCGGTCCATCACCATCACAGAAGAGAGCGGGAGGGCAGCTGGCGCGCCAGTAGTGCCCGCCAATCGATCAGGCTGCGAGTCGCTTGATCGCGTGCCGTGTCTCTTTTAAATAAATGGAAAGGCTAGGCGCCTCTTGCTTAGTTGTTGAAGACCTGGAACGCGTCGGCGGCTCTTTTGTTGAGGAAACATCTTCAACGGCCGAGACTGAGAGCTTTTTGGCCTTCGTAATTCATGGGGGCCACTGGTAGAAGGGTAAAAGGTAGAAAATCTGCCACAGTTTCCTGCATGAAGAGGGGCAGGGGCACTGCACTCGGTCCATTGCAGCTACTGCACTTCGGAAATCTTGCCCGTCGTTGATTCGTGTCGCCTCGCCTTTCTGTGATTGGGTTGCTTGTGTTTGGCTTGCAGCTCCCTCGACGGAGCAAAAAGCAGAGAGGCGCACCGCTTCACACCTCTGTGGGCTGTGTTCCCGTTGATGGATATAATAGCTACGACACGAAAATGGGAACGAAGGAGCACGCCGCAG